GGGGGGGGGGGGGGGGGGGGACAGATATAAACACTTTCTTTTGTTTGGGTAAGGGACCCTCCCAGTGGAAACCATGGAAACCCCCCAGGCTACGCTGCAATCTTGGTCGCGAGGGGGAGGGTGCTCATGTTTTGCATTCCTTAGCGATTAGACCATCGACCACGCGTCCTCAAGAGGACGGATGGGGGGGCTAATTCACCCTGCTCTCCTGTGTCACTCACCCACAGCACGTTGACGTTCGAAATTTCGCAGGAGGTGAACCCGTGCAGCCGGTAGAACGGCGTGCTCCTCGACACCTTTGCCGCCACGGCGGCCTGTACGTAAAACTCTGCGAGATCCTTGTGCATGACGTCGCGCGGATCGACCAAGGCCCCTTCTGGAATATCCCACACCGGCAGCCCATCCCCTGGGTAAAGGGTTGGATACACGCATGCCCTGACAACGGTGAGTCTCGTTGGATGTGAACAGCGCACGTTCGATTTCTTACGTATACATGTACTCTCTCAGGTGTAAGCAGCAGGTAAAGAGCAAACCAACGTCAGTTCACTGAACCGAGAAGCAGTCGGTCGACAACGTCACGCCTTCCTTCTCCAGCTTAGGGGACACAGGTACGTTTAAAGGGCGCCCAGAACAGGGGTTTTGACGCTGGCTCTTCTCTCATACTTTAATCCAACATAAGAAAGAAAACAACCTTCCCGCAGGAGGTACCTGGTAAGTAGTACTGTTATCAGTAGAGGACACCATGAAGAGGCGTCGTGCGTGCTGGCACGTTCAGGTTTGCTAATGGAGCTGAAATATCGAAGGTCGCAGCAACCTCTGAAAACAGTCCGAAATCTGCGCCGGAACCAAGCAGCATCCAACATTTGTCACAGCCGTGCTCACCGCCACGGACCCCAATCTCCTGAACTGTGCGCTTACAGCAGTAGCTCATGTCATCTAGTATCGACGCCCCCGTCTTGAGCTTTCGAGAGTGCTATCGACCTTTGGCCTTGTCCACTCCCCTTCTTATGTTTCGAAGTTTTATATTTCAGCGTCCACTCCAACAATCGCCGCCCGATTGTCGCCCCCTTTTCGTTGGGCCGCGCGCGGAGCACCGTACTTACTGGCTCTTGCTTTCTAGCCCGCTTCCGCCGCGCCGCTGTCTCTGAGTATTCTTGTTTCTTCTGCTCTTTGTATTTCTGTTGAGCATCTTCTTGTGCTTCTCTTGCGTATTCGGGACTATCCTGGCGTCACACCCCCGTTCTTCGTGACCCTCTTGCAATCGGTAGACCCCCCGAATTTTTCTCTCTTTATGTTCTTGCTTTATGTAGCTCTGCCCCTGATTTTATCATCGGACGCTTTCCGCGCTTCTTTGCTCCGCTTTCGTAGTCGGTGTCAGCCTACGCTGCCTGCCCTAGTTTCCCCTTGTTTCAATCCTACCCTTTTGCTAGCCGAGAGCGTAGCTCTCTTGAATTCCATGCAGAGGTGTGGGAGAGGTTTGTGAGGCTCCGTATCCTCGAGTCTAGACTTGATACTTCAGACGGATTGCTATTTCCCCCCTCTTGAAGATCTAGCCTCTGCGTATGTGTCCCCTCAGGGTGGGCCAGTGTCATGGTATTTGGACCCTTGGACTAAGATACAATCTGGGCGGGTATATCTTTTAGGAATATCCCGACCACGTGCCCAGGTTCCTGGTATTCCGACAAGGCACGTAGCAGTACAACCGGTACTAGCAGCAGCAAGCGATGGGCAAGAACTCCCCCTCGCTCAGTGTTGCCTAAGAGTGAGCGATAGCGAGCGACTGAGAGAGAAAGGAAGGATGAGGAAGGAAACACACTGAAGAAGCAAAGCGGCTCCAACCTGCACACAGTGGTCGGACTAGCTCCACACTGAACCCGCGTCAGATATCGTCACACCTGGCGACAAACGCAGACACGACAAGCCGAACACCCCAACCCGTGAACTTACTTCTCTTCCCTCGGCCCCCCGATTCCAAAGACGCCTTTCCTTCGCCTCCCTCCCCGTTGGTGAGGGGTGCGATAACCTGATGCGCTGGCATCTGGAAGACCCCGGCGGCCACCTGGACGAACGCCATTTCTGCGGCACGCTGCTCGGGTGGAAGATTGCGGGTTTTCCGGAAATAGGGTAGGGTTTTTCAAGACACGATCAAAAACAAGAAACCGTGTATCCGAGGGCGGAGTCAAGTAGAGATCACACCTAGAGCCTTGAATTAAAGAGGAGCGTGCGTGAGCGCTCGACGGAAACGAAGCGGGCCAACAACTAGTGCTTGTTACGCTGTCTCACCGATATTGTATCTCTTTTCCATTCGGACCAACGGCAAAGCGGCAGGGCTCCTTTTTCTGTGACCAACCATCGTCCCTACCCAATTAACTACTGTTACCCTGTCTTTCAACGCCTCATCACCGTCGTCGTTCAAGCAGCGAACCAATCCCGCCACAGCCCGCCGGACCGACCGCCTTCCGACCAGCCGCCTCAAACGCCAAGAAAAATTACCAAACCACAAAAAAAAAATGCTTCCAACAAACGCTCACTCGCCAGAAAGGCATCATCATCGGCATCATCCAGCTTGGTAGCAGCGCGCAAGAACCTCCGGTGCTGGTGCTGCATCACCGAGTACATCGCCCGCTCCACGAGCCCCCTCATGCCCCGATTATCCGTGGCTTCTCGCCACGGAAACGCGGACGGCAGGCCCGGCATCTCGGCCGCACCGGCATCGCCCCCCGGCGTAGCAAATCCCGAGGAGCTCCAGCCCCTCGTCGTGACGCCGTTGCTCTTAGCAGCCGCCTCTGGAGGCGTCCCCCCAGTGAATGAAGAGGGGAAGGACGGTGGAGGGCGGCAGCGTCGCCTACAAGAGAGGAGGTACCCTGCCCCCGCGCTCCGCGCGAGAGGCGGTCGCATCATGACCCGACAGCGACACACCTGTCGCGCGCGAACACCCCGTCCGTTGCTGCTGCGGATTGTCTCTGCTTTGAGGGCGCGGGGAGGGTTCCACATCGATTCTTGGCATGCAGCTCATCATGCGGGGTGCAACAGGATTGAGCAGGCCGGGTGGATGCTGGAATCTGTGTTGTGTCTTACATTTTCGCAACGGCGTATATGTATGGGGTTCGTGGTAATAGCACGACAATCGACAGCGACGCAGGCACCAGTGTTTGCAGCAGTCTATTGACCTGGCTTTTCTCTTTCGCGTGTACAACAAACGTCATTACCAACTGATACAAATTCCTACCCGCAACTTCTCAGCAAATAACTTTGATTGACCGCTTCAGAGCAAAGGCCTAGCGGCTGTATCGATAACACCGATGGCAGGCATATCTTTCAGAAGCATATTCTTAGGAAGTAAACATAAACTCACAGAAAGACTACCCGTTCGAGATATAACCTCAGTCGAAAGGGATGTGGTGAAGTCTTTTCAGTAAGTGGATTGAAACCGACTGGAGACTTGGGCTTATTTTGAGTTTGTGTAAGCCTTACACTGAGTTATCAGTGATGCCAGTTGGTGCTAGGAACAAAAGCATCTGTATACCGTAGGTGACACAGTATACCAAACCCGTGTGATAACAATTTCGGGAGGACGAAAGTTATCACACGGGTGTGGTATTCTGTAGGGGGTGTGATATCTTGTGTCACCCGTGTGATAAAGTGTACTCACAGAGTCTCACCAACAGGGGGTGTGATAACAAGGGGGTGTGATACCGTCGCCCGTGTGATGAAGCGCGCTCACAGGACCCGGCTTACAGGGGGTGTGATAACAAGGGGGTGTGATAACTTCGCCCGTGTGATGATACGCGCTCACAAGACCCGGCCTGACGGGGGTGTGATAATGTCGCCCGTGTGGTTGCAGTGCGCCCACAAGACCCTACCTACGGGGGTGTGATAATAATGTCGCTCGAGTGATGCGGTGCGCTTACAGGAGGCACCCACGTACAAAGGGCGTCAAGGGGTGTAAAACAGGTGTGATAGCTAGGATGGCTCACATCACCCATCACGTACATGCTTTCCCACGTGCATTTTCACAGTATCCTTTGGAAATTCTTCGCATAGGTACACAACGAAGACGTAGAACCGATACCTCATAGCGGTTGTGCCGGTGTTGTGTGCGACAAACCGACAGCACACAGGTACCTGGACGACGCAACCACTTGCAAGACTTGCATCCAACACTCAAGCTGGAACCACATAGGACGCAAGCAAGTGCCAGCTACATATCAACCAAAGCTAGACACCAAGAGGACAAGCGACTACCGAAACATATGAAACCCAGGACAAATTGGCTCGAATAGCAGCTTTGGTTGACTTGACCATGGCATGCAACTACGGTAGGTAGATACCAGACAAGACACCTCAGTCAATGCAAACAACGTCCGCCCCCGGCAAGTCTGCCATGACCTCAACCTCCGAGTCATCGTTGCCTTCGCCATCTCCCGAGCTGTCATCGTCGTCGATTTCCAACACCTCCAACAAGTCGGTCATCGTCTCCCCCTCCTCCGATGGGCCAGCCTCCTCCACGCCGGCAGCGGCCGCGTCGCCGTCTGCACGAAGTGGTTTCCCTTGGGCGTCGGAGTTGAGCTCCTTGTTGGCCCACGCCTCGTCCTCAGATCCATCGAAGGCAAGGGTCATGCCAGCCTTCCTCCAGCTCGAACGGATGCTCTCAGGGTCCACTTCATCCCACGCTTTCTTCACCCACTGCGCGAGCAATCCCCTCGATGGGGGATCCGGGTAGCCGCGGTCGTTGCGCACGGCGTCGGTGGAGGCCATGTGGTCATCGTAGAGCCTGGACATGTTGGACTTGAACAGCTTGTTGATAAGTCCATCGCAAGGCTGGATCTTGGGCGTTAGGCCTCCGGGGACAAAAAACAGCGTCGTGTTGGACTTGTCCATCGCTTCCTTGCACAGGGCTGTCTTGTGCACGGTGTAATCGTCCCACGATAGCAGCGTGTCCGGCTTACGGTAGTTGCCCAGGATCCCCTCGCGACCCGGGCGCCGGTTCCACACTTGGGGGAGCCAAACATCCCCGAAGACGCGCTGCGTGTGCCACGCCTTGTCGTCCACGGCGTACACAACGCTCTGAGGGTATACTATCCCCTTCTTGTCCTTGCCCACCTTGAACTCTCGTTCGATGCTGTTGGCAGCGGGGGTTTTGCCCGGCGCCGTAGGCTTACCCTTGAAGATGAGCAGCGGCGGGAGTTTGCCGCCCTTCATGTTTGCTGCAAGCACGGCAGTGATCCGCAACTTTTCCTTTCCACCGGTTTTGATGGCCACCTCTTTCTGACCGGTGTGCTGCGAACGACAAAAATAAAAAGCAAAAAGCAATAGAGAAAGCAGAGGCGACGAAAAAAGTCGATTTTGTAGATGAGAATGACAGCTCTTCACGCACAAAGTAACGTATGGGTTTTGCAGTACAGCGATGATGGATGCGAATGGTAAGAAACTTCTAACCCGGCATAAGCACAATACCAACGTCGTCTAGCCTTATTGGCTGGACACTGAGTAGGTACGGCAAGAAATATTGCATCACAATGCCCACTGTTTGCACGGAATGCCAAGAAACGGCCAGACAGGCACATGACTCGAAGCAACACTATTGAACTCACCGCCACGGTCGACGTGCCAGCGTGCTCCATCCACACAGCAGCTTCATCCATGCTGTAGCTCTGCTCCTCCTTGAACAACAGAGGTGGCTTCGAAGGCGCACTGCTCGTTGCCCCCCCCATGCTCCATCCTCCCCCACCGTCGATTCCTCCGTGACGAAGCGCCCTCCATTCCTTGACCGCTTTCATGGCAATCGCAGGCCACCCGGAAGGGAGTTTCTGGCCTTGCCTGGTAACCGCCCGGAATGACAACCGGTTCTTCCTAAGGAACCTCCTGCACCAGTGAGTCTGCTTGTTGCGGTACTTTCTACTGCCCTCCAGGTCGTTCGCTGCAGGCCTCGGGCCGAACCAAAGCGAGTTGAGCGATACCGCCTTGTTCTTGATCATCCTTGTAGAGACGCGGGCAGAGATGGCTTCCGAACGAACATCGTTGATCCAGTCGAGAAGTTCGAGCTCGGCCTCAGCGTTTGACCTAACCCTCACCGTGTTGAACGACTTTACGCTCCGGGCTTTTTTCTTGCGTTTGGCCCCGAGCTGGTCTGCCTGTTCCAGCTGCTTCTCGTACTTTGTTCTGTCTTTTATCCACGCAGAGAGTGTGATCTTCTCGGGAATCCCAAGCACTCGTTGCGCATACGACACACCGATGGTTCCATTAGGCCCCTGCGCCCCCGGGCTTTGCATGGTCGCGTACTTAATGGGGAAGTTTGGTGGCTCCAATTCCAGCGGCTCTCTTTTCCTCTTGCCCTTGCCCTTGCCCTCGGCCGGCGTGCCGTCGAGAGACCCACCGAAACCATCTGTCCACTCCTCTGACTCTCCAGGAAACATGGCGTCGCCGACGGGCGCCGCTGCGGCTGCTGTCGTCGGTGCTTCAGGCAGGTGCACGTTCCTGAAAAGCGCATGAGTTCGAGGAAGCAACAAAACATGTAGCATACGTGTCGTTAAGTGCAGTATCTGTAACAATGCGCTCGCTCCAACGACCATCAGGCAAACGTACCAAAAATACGATGGCTAGCGGATAGCTCTGACAACGGCCACCAGGTTGAGAGTCATGGCGTCCACGCTTGCAAGGTACAGAGGGTGAGCAGCTGACGGCACCTATTTCGTATCTCACACAAACAGGCACGAACTGCTGTCGAGGTTATGTTTACATATTTGCACGTGTTGGGTACGGGTTTCGCAGTCTTCCTACCGAAACATCACAAACACAAAAAACGGTATGCGGAAACGTGTCGTGTGTGTGAAAAAAACAATCCAGTAAACATTTCGCCCACACCAGAATATATGAACTACATGTAAATGTAGTGTGTGTCAAAATCACATTATTTTTTCGATCTGGTTATCGATCAGGCAATCAGGCGTGGCATGTTCTTTGGTTTGCTTAAGCCATGAGAATCCTCACAAACACCCATGTGCTGCAAACTGCAAGACGCTCTGCGCACACCTTATTTTGATGTAGACGTCGCCAGACTTCGCATGCCTGCCGCAAAACTCCGGCATATCCTTCCCTGGCTCTGCCCACAAGGGCTTGTTGGTGCACGATGGTTCTCCGCAGCGCGGTGCTGCTGCAGGGTTCTCAGCAGTAGCCGCGCTCAGGGTGTTGGTGGTTGGCGGGAGAGCTGCCTTTTCGGGTGTGGGTGTGGGTGTGGGTGCTGCGGGATTCTCAGCAGTAGGTTCTGCTTCGCAGGTTTCAGCGGCACCCGCGGTGGCAGGCGCAGCCGGTGCTGTGGGAGTCTCAGTAGCAGTATATTCTATTGAGCGGGCCTCAGCAGTACGTGCGGTGTCATGTGCGGCTGCTGAGGGAGTCGTCCGAGCAGCCCCACGTTCCCCCGGGGCGGGTGGAAAGAAGGACGCTATGGAGCGTGGGGCCGCCGCTGGAGTCTTACCCACTGCAGTCTGAGCCGCGGGGCTTTCAGCAGGGTTGCTAACTGCACCACCCTCCACGACATTGTCCGCCTCCATGGCTCTTGCGAGCAGGTGGTGTGGTCGTGATCTCTGTCCTCACGTTGTCACACCGTGTGATAAGCAGGGGCTCCGTCGATTTAATGCGGCCCAACTTCAGGGGGTGTGGTATCTTATGTCACCGTGTGATAAAATGACGTTTTTTGGGGGGCTGAAAAAAATAGCACACGGGTGTGGTATTGTGTACGTTTTCTGAGGGGGTGTGGTATCTAATGAAAGTGTGATATCTTATGCAACCTACGGTAGGCGGATGCATTCTTAACACATCCCCTGTAGTTTTCTACTGGGTCGACGACAGAACTATCGGGGAGAAGCTCTTCGTTATGTCATGTGTTATAGAATGTGGCCTTCACAGGGAACATGGCGCAGTGTCGTTTGAGCATCCTTCTCCCTCACCTACAGCAGTATACCGTATTTTGCGTAGCCGCCACAACAGCAGCAGTGGCTTGAAAATTGAAGCAGGCACACACCAAAATGCCGGAGGTCTTTGACACACCATTGTTTTACATGGAGGGCATAAACTCCCCGAGACAGTGCATTCTCCAAAAGTGCAGGTTGGCATACAACATACAACGGCGCCAAACATGATTGTCGTTACCAAATTGGGGTGGGTGCCAGGACTACTCTAAACTCTTCAAGTCCTGACTGAATATACACTTACTTTGGGTCAAATGACTGCCCGTTTAAGCTTTCCATTTACTCTTTCAGAGGGTACGTGTCTCTCGTCCGTGTGTGTAAGTCCCCCGTATGCAGTTTCGTGAAAGATTCCTCGCTTCATGTTATTGCCCCTGCGTATGCAGCACCCTTAACAATAGCAGACAGAGGGTTAACCGCCGGTGCTCGTTGCAGTGGAGTCAGCGCACGATTTTCGACATGTATTTAGTCGAAGAAGCAACAATACAATAGATTAATTCGTGCTAATGCACGGCGTAGAAATTCTCCACTTACCACACGTTGTGCGCTCTCGTGTTAAGCACCGAAGGGCCGGCCGCCGTAGCAGAGCGCAACACAGCAGGGACACACACAGCAAAGTGTGCTGGTCGGTTTTGGTTGGTTTTTCTAAGGGGTTCCGCAAATACATGAATGCCTGTTGTTGTTCATATATACCTCGAATATCCTAGCCGACGAGCCCCCTGCGCTAGTCTCCGCGTGTGCGGCTCTACCTCTGTTTGTCTGTGGTGTTCGTCTCGCCCCTCCCCTCTTCTGCCTCTCTACTCTGTTGATCCGTCGAAGAGAGGCGGTCACCATGTCTGAACAGCCCTCATTCGTGGCGAGCCTCTTGGTGAGTGGCATACACACGTGCTGCCAGCGGGAGAATATGTAGTCCTGTAGGCAGTAGGCAGCCGTTGGAAAGTACGAGATTTACTTGCCGTCCTTCGCGTGACAAAGTCACGCCGGCTGGCCGAGCACGGCGCAGCAGCAGCAGCCTCTAGGCACCAAAAGTGCAAGAAGTGTTTGTTAACGCCCATGCCCTAGGGCCATCTGGTCGGACGTGCGCTCCTCTACACGTGGAAGCGAAAAGATTCGACAGGTTGTAGATTGGTCGAAATAAGCACGTGCACATTACATATGTCTAGTCTCTTCCCGGAGGCGCGCGACGCCCTCCGTGTGGTATGTTTTATCCCGCGATGCTTGCATACGGAGGGAGAGGAAGGGCGCACAATACACTTGCTACTCTATCATGCACCCGATGTACGCACGGGCATCGCGTAACAAAAGGTCGGACCCAGCCGGATTACTTGCGTGCCACGTATGCGCGGCTCATGCCTTGATTTTTCAAGTGAATTTTTCGTTACCAGAACTCTGCCTTCTCGCCGACGTTCGATTCTCCCATCCCTCACCCTAAATACAACTTTACTGCTGTTTCTTTTCGAAGTACACTGTAGCTGCAACAATAACACTGTTGAGTTTGGCGGCTGGTTCGCGCGGCCGCCCAGCAAACCTCCGCTTGGGCGTTGGGTCAACAAGGGGCATAGCGACCACACCACGGGCAACATGGGTGATCTTGTCCCGCAAGGTCACACCCGTGACCTGTAGAAGTTGCATCCGTGCCTTGCAGGACACACCAGCCTCTCTCATGATGGTTGTTGACTACGGTTGATTCGCACCCGCCGAGCGCAAGGATTTGTTGCTGCGCGGTGGATTCCATTCCACTCCTCCCCTCCCTTTCTCTCGAGACCGAGAAAGGAGATCATCGCGCTAAGGGTAAGGGGCCAACGTCCGTGCCGCGTGCTGTATCACATGTCATGTGCCGCGGCGGGTCACAGAGTGGATCATCACGGATGCTGCCGCAAATCTCCGACTGAGCGCTTTCAGAATACATGCATGCGATATACTGCTGTAGTCCGTTACCTCAACGGTCGTGTGCTGTGCATGGTTTACTCCATTTCCGCCTTAGCATGAGGAAAAGGCTTAGGGTCAGAATGGGGTCGACCGTCGGTGGTGGGACGGGAGTAGCACATGTTCGACGGAGTTAGACCCTGTTTTGTTTTGTTTTGTTTTGTTTTTCATCATTTACAGCATTTCTGCCGGGTACGACGCTCCTACCCTCATGTAGGAGTTCCAATCCGTGGTCACACAGAAGGTTTCGTCCCCCTGAGCCCCCCGTACCCACCCTTCCTTCGGTGCTTACCCTGGGTCATATTCTACCGACCGTGGCGTCTTTTTAACAAACATCGGAGGACACGGTAGGCGAGACGTATTGACACAAGCTGCGAACAGGCCACAATCCACGGAGATCGCGGAGCCTGTCGATAGGCTGCGATCAGCGTTGATTTGCCGGCGCGACTCCTGAACTTCAAACAGCAACAAATGCCAGAAAATCTGTAACTGTAGTTACCTGCTGACCTGTTTGTCGTACCCCGACCAGCATCAACCTGTTCAACACAGCCGCAGCTGCCCCCCCCCCACATCTTATGAGTCACCTTTGGCAACGTAGGAAGGAACGATTGGCAATCGGTCCGGTGGAAACAATACTCCGTCCTCTCGAGGACGAATGGTTAGTGGTCTAGCACCACCGGTATGCAATACATGAGTACGCCCCCCCCCTCCCCCTCCCCCTCCATATCCGACCCATACAGGCGGGAGGCATGGCAGGCACAGCTGTAGACGTGGCCCTGTACCCGTTAGACACAATCAAGACGAGGCTGCAGTCTCCCGAAGGCTTTGTCAAATCGGGTGGTCTACGCGGGGTGTACAACGGTCTTAGCGCTGCGGCGGTGGGCTCTGCTCCAGGAGGTGGGGTTTCGGTGCTGGGAGGGGCAGGGGCAGAGTTTCGTGCTTGCTGCGCTCGTGTGACAGGAACAGCCACACAAGAGAGAGGGGTGGGGGGGGGGTGGGGGGGGGGGGGGGAGGGAAAAAAAAAAACAAAAAAAAAAAAAGGGGAAAAGGGTCCGGAAACGGAAAAAAAAAAGGCCCCCCCCTTTTGGTTCTGACACTGCCCGGCGGGGGCGGGCCTTTCCTTGGTGGAGGGAACCCCTCCGTGGGGTTTTCCCCCCCCCGGG